ACTAGGGATGAAAATATTCCACGGATCCACGATTTACAACCTTTATCTGCTGATAATGTAATTTCTGTGAAATGTGTGACAGCGGGCACTTGCTGTTTATTTGCTCTAAGCACATTCAAGCGATGCACTCGAATGTGCACGTCCTGGTGCAGCTGCTGCCGCTTTGTAATGACAGCCGCGGCGCTCAGTGAAAGCACAGCTCTAACATGGTACCGAGCTCGGACCATATGCAGACAGAACCATGTTGCAAGTGCGGGTCTCCCTCGTATCTCCCCCGTTTCTCCCCTGTGTCTCTGACATGTCTCTCCCCTGACTCTTCCCAAAGCGCAACCAGCGCTCCCGAAATTAAAGCTCGGATACCTAAATTTTCCATTGCGTTAACGATGCATGCTGGTTGTGCGCAAAAACACACCACAACAGGTCATTTAAGTTTTTATTTTGCATACTTGAGAGCCCTGTGAGTCATTACTTGCCTTTTTGGGTTGAGAGTGGAATAAAAAAAAGAAAATATAGAAAAATCCACACTGTTACTTATTGCCAAACTCTTGTTAACTCATTGTATTGAGAAATACTATGTAACTTTTGACATTGGCCAAGTTATATAAATGATTCTGCAGTTCATGTATATGAATGTCTGTTTTTGATTGTCTATACCTTCTTATATAATTTAGAAAAAATGCCACCTCCACAAATAAGATAAAAGATATCAGGAGCTTTTTTAACAGTTGGAAAGTAAGTAAGAGAAAGCACAAGTAATAGCAAATTATGAATTGTGATGATTAATCTTCTGTTAACATACATAACTGCTTCTCATTCAGTCTACAGCTGAGTTTAGTATAGAAGGCAACACACTATTGCAAATATAGTGTGTGATTACACAACAAATTCTGGGGGAGAAACTCCGGACCCCGTGTCAATGGGTGTAGACTCAGGTCGTAGTGAATGTCCCCACCAAGATTGGAACCAAACCTACACCATTGATGTGTTTTCAGACCTGTTATGCATGCTGTGTGTTTTTTATATTCTTTAATGACTTGCACCAACCGAAGCACCATATGTCCCCACGTAACTGGACAATTAAGACCCCTGAGCCTTGAGTATGAAAAGCGGAAATGGGGCCAGAACATGGGGAGCGAGTGCAAGGCCTGTTTTTAGCCTTTGTTTTAGCCTTCTTTTAGCCTGTATTTTTAGCTTAGGTTCTTACTGATTTTTACTGCTTTTATTTGAACAAACTTTAATTTTTTTTAAATATTGTTTAACTTTCTTTAAACTCAGTGGTCTCCTTTTTAAACCGGGTCAAGATCGTTTTTTCCACTTCTGATTTTCCTTGACTTTGTTTTTGTGGGCTTTAAATGTATTTTGATTCCGAAACTTACCTACTGACACAAGTAATGTCAATTCAATCAGCCCTAAACCACAACAGCAGTAACTTTTGTAGGGCTTTACAAAACTGTTGAATTTGCTAACAAGGATCAGAGAATGAAACATTTCAAACACAAGAAATCTAACAAAAAAAAACATGATCGATAAGTGGAAGATGACCAATATCCATAAATGTTGATAAAGTTTATAAATGCAAGAAAGAAAGAAATTGAAAAAATTGTAGGAAAATGTATGTTTTATTACCTTTTTCAAGATGTCAGCATTTGGTACCATTTTAAAAAGCCCATTCTAACACATGATGGTTCTTTTGCATTTATATTCAATTTCAGAACCAATGGGACCATTTACTGTACAAAGGGCACCCCACAGCCATCGAAACAGCAGAGTTGGAGCAAAACTTCATCCCTTGAGCCCTTCCCTATTGGGCTTCATCGAGGTAGCGGGTTAGCATTGTCCATCTTTATACAGTCTGTCTATACTCTTTTGTCAGTAGCTCAGTAAGAGGAGCCAAACCTATCTGGCGTCTCCATTCAGTCATGGCAGATAAAAGCATGTGTCTTGGCTTCCTTGTTTTGGTACGCTTCCAACATGGTGCTGTCGTGTACTGTAGGTGCAGTAGTGTGTTTGGCACCCTGTCTGATGTGCACTAGTTAGCTCAGTTTTGTTAGCATCTGTAATGTTGTTTGCAGTTGGCCTCCGACAATCACTCTGAATGTGTTCAATAGCAGTTAAAGGAATAGACCATCTGATATGTTGATATGTACCTGTCTGGTCTTTGTCCGTGCGCTCTGTCATGCAAACGGAGCACAAACGCAGCCTCTTCCACAGACTGTATAGTTCCAAATCAGCTCCCGTTAGAAGCTACTAAACTCTTCCACGTGTTCCCTATTTAAATACAGTTACGTGACGTATTACACTACAAAGTATAGTAACACAGAAATGTAACATGTCGATTTTCTCAGCGGATAAAAAGGGGTACTACTGTATATTGTGAGGCCAAATAATACGCGGAGCACTAGGTCCGCGCACTAACTCCTAAAGACTTCTCTCCCGCTCACTTCCGTCAATAGAAGCAGCGTGACTTGCAGTACGTCTTTAGGAGTTAGTGGGCGGACGTAGTGCTACTTGTTTACTTACTTATTTACATCCACAGCACATTCATATATGAGCATTCTGCAACTATATTGATCCTGAAGCGTCAATACAAAGCGTGCCTCAATTATCAAATCAAACGGTCTAAGCTCAACTCATAAATAACAAACGATAGATTAAGATGCAAATAAAGAAATCAATGTTTGCTGTTTCATACTAAATTGTGCAGACTATTCATGAGATTATACATATCCACAACCATCCACATTTCCCCCTATTCTGAAACCCGTGACTACTGTAAGTCTAACGATGTACTTTATCTCAGTTGCTTATACTGTTGAGAGTTCCCTTTCTGTTCGCAGCACAGCTTGGAGATATTTTACAGTAACTGAAGAAGATAAATGTAAAGAAAACCGCACATAACACTTCAGTAAAATGTCAAGCTGCACAATGTTGGCTTCTTCAAAACAAGTCACTTGATAAAACATCTGAAAAAGTCAACATGACACTGGAATCTGCTTCATAAATAATACACGTGCACTGTGTAAAATTCACAAGTGCACAGCTGAACACACTGGATCCCTGTCAAAACACTCGCGCAAACATCAGGGTGTAATTGCTTTTAAATAACACATGTGTTGTTTATTTATTTTTGAAAGGTGACATTCAAAGACGCGGAGACACGGATGGAAGGTTGGTTTTTTGCCATTCCTTTTTCCTCCCAAATAAACAAAGTGGTTGGTGTTTGTTTTCACACAATGGCGTTAGGAAGATGTTGAAGCTGAAATATCTGCCACAACGATTCCGCTCATCTCACACTAAAGAAGCAATCAACCAACTCACCATCCAATTCACCCATAAATTATGTATCCAACTCCTCAGTCTTCATATCCTTATAGTGGTGAATAATAAATGTGTGTTTTCTTCAGTAAACAAACCAGTTTCTTTGAAGGATTTGTAATGTTTGATAGCAATTTTTGGCCAGTAATTCAATCACCTTTTTTCCCTTTTCTTTTACAGTTACGTAATGAACATAAAAACACAAATCAACACACATGCACCAAGTCCAAGGCATAAAACATAAATATATTTGCAGAACTTAATTTAGTTAAATGACTAATTTATAACCCAACACCAAACCCAAACCCAATTTGATCCATCATTTGGCCACTAGGGCGTCTGTCAGGAGCAGAGATTGCCGTACAGCGCCCGGGATATCAGCTCCATGTGTTGACGCTCAGCTTGGTCAGAACCACCAGAGCTTTCTAGTTGTAGGAGGAAACCTACGCAGACAAGGGGAGAACGTGCAAACTCCACTCAGAAAGGCCGTGTTCCGATTGAGGTTCGAACCCAGGAAATTGTTTCTGATAAGCTAGAGCACTAACCACTGTGCCACCGTGCACACAAGAACACACAAGAAGCACACAACATGTACTGGTGTAAACGCATCTTAACTCTGTAAATGCTTCATAGGAACAGCAAGTAAATATACAATTATTTATAAAATTAACAAGAGAAGTAGCGTAAAGAGCACATTGCAACATGCTGTTGCTTTTATTGACTTGAATTATTTTCATGTTAACTGTGCAGCATGTTGTTAACTCTGTTTTTGCTATAAAAGTAAAGATGTATCATTAACTTTTATTTAGCACCATACCTGTCATCCCCACAATGACCACAAATATCATGCACCAAAGTCAGAGCATTAAAAAGTATTATTTTCTCAGCTTGGACTTAACAAGACAAATCAAAGGGTTGTATTGGGCGACAAAAAATGCTTACCACAAGGTGACAGTCCGCTCACTCACTGCTTCGACCCTGTGACTTTAATCGATATTAGTAACTTGGAGTTCACAGCACTAATAAAGAGAGTCTGTGTATAACCTGGACCTGTTCCGTTGTTGAAAAAATTAATAAAAAACAACAACAAAAGAAATGTGCTCATAATGCAAAACAGTTTCATTAAAAAAAAAAAAATTAAATAATAAAAAAAAATCTAAATCTTCAGACTATTAGACACAAACTGAAAGTACACAAGCTATTGAAACGTGAAAAGAGGTTAACTTACTTACAGATATATTTATATGTCTTCACTAAAAGGTTTGTTGCTGTTATTTTGGAGTTTTTCTTTGTAGTTCTATCAAATGCTTATAAAACAAAGACATGTGACAATATACAGTTTTTTTTAGATTGTTTATATTCTAAATTCGCGACTTGGAAAACGATGGTGGGTCCCGACACGTTCCAGTTGAGAATCACTGTGTTTGATTGATTGGACTTCTTCTTCTCGGTCTGGTTGGCCTGACAACCGAAAGTCTGAGGCCGTGCAGTTCTGAAGCACTTACGGAGAGGATGGCTGTCTTGCTTCAGCCGCCTATTACATCCCATATAAACGCCACAGGTAACATTTATATGAAGAATGCGTTGCATCAAGTGGACGTCATTCTCACATTAGTGCCTGAGGCCGGAGCGCTTAACCTGGATCTGACAGAAGCATCAGACTGAGGAGGAACCGCGCCGACAAGATGAAGACGCCAGCGGCCAGCGAGGACTGCATCCAACCTCTAGTATGTTCTTTCTTTAAGCCATGTCATCTTGCTGCACTTTATACTCTTCATTATTATTTTTATGTTTATACAAGAGTCTGCTGTTTTTCAGAAAAGTTTTTGGGTGAATATACAGTTTCTAATAGTTGCATTTGCCAAAACAAGTCAGTCTCAAAAATATTTAGCATTTTCCCTAGATTTGGTACTATTATATTTGTCTACACCAGAGTGCTGCTGGGAATGTAGTGGGGAACATAGTGTGCTACACAGTGTGCCTTGAGGTAATGCCAGATGCACTTTGGAAATATCTCCAATTTTAGTTAATGGGGTTGTGGGAATAATGGAGCTAAACATTTAGTGTGTTCTGTGTAAACGTATCATTAAAAACTAAAATACACAATGATAATATTAACAAAGTTTTGCTTACAGAAATTCCACAACAGTATTTTGAAACCTCTGAGGCATTTCTGTTCAGTTGTGGCTACAACTAGGACACTGTATCTGCAGTCTATTAATGAGTTATGATTATTTATCATTTTTCCATGGGATTTTAATGTTGCATATGAACAATGATATACAAATAAACTTGTCTTGTCTTAAAGCTCACTGGCTTTCCAACAAAAAAACAAAATATCTCTTCTCGTCTGTTTCACCTAACATTTCTGAAAAAATGTATACACAAAGATACGCCTTAGACGAGTTATACAGTTACTGGTGTTGGGTAAGTTACTTTGACAGTAGTTACAGAGTATTTAAAAAAAACACTGCTGTCGTATGTCCAGCCAAGAGAGCTCTTTGATGTTAATTTAAACAGTGGTTCTCAGTGATTCTCACCAAAAAGACGATTACCACAAGGTGAAAGTCCTCTCACTTGCAGCTTTGTCACTGGTGGATTTTGACTTAAGTCAATATTACCTATTGGAGTTCACCCCACAATACTAAAGAGTGTGTATAATACAGTATATCCTGATTAAAAAGTAACTGAGTCCACATACGTAGTAAACTCGGATACTGGGAAAGTAGGTGAGTTTGGGATTACTTTGGAAAAATGGATAATTGTCTGTGGGTTTTTGCCACAATCAAAATGCTCTGTGTTGAAGCTGTATGTTCTTGTTTAACCCTGTGTGAGAAAGTTCTACACGTAACTAATACATTTCAGGAGTATGTTGGTAGTTACTGTATTCTAATATGAGTACAATGTGTAGTTCATTTTGTTTTTTTTTATTCATTTATTTCAGGAAATGGTACATATAAGTACAAGGTAGAAAGATTCAGTCATCAAGTAACATGATTACAGTAACTGATTATACCCAGCTCTGATTGTAACTGCAAAAGAAACCCTAGATGTAGCAACTTTATTCCAGTTCCATTTTCAAATATATGAGCAATTGTGAATCCACTTAATAAATCGTGGTTAGAAAAGTCTGTAACTAAATGCTGTGGCAGCCTTGGACACCATCTGTGTTCAACGCTCACGTCGCACTGATGTTGTTTTTCTTTTATTATCTGGCATTCTCAAAAAGCCTAAAATCAAGCCTTTTGTTTGCCCTGTTTTTCATGTGCATTTATCTTCACAAAACAAAAGAGGAACCAGCCTTTGCTCCCGAGCTCTCTCTGCAGTACATAATATATATTTGCTGTGACTTGAAGGTGTTCCAGTCCAGCTCCAGCCGGCCCTCTGCGTCTCTCCTGAGGTTTGGTGGCCTGGCTCTGGTCCTCGCCGCTGTTTTATTGTTGTGTGCGTTTGTGGCTGCTTTGTTCTTCGGGAAGGTCACCGACACAAACGTAAGCCTTATCTGCTCCACCGTTACTGATTGCAAACGCAGATACAGTACATGTTAATTGCAGCCGAGTCTGATTAATGATCATAATTATGGCGGATTACCATAAGTTGCGGTGTGTAAGTGCTGCTTAATTTGGCCATACAAATTGCATTACAGACAACTCACAAGAGGGAGTTTATATTTGTGTTCTAATGAGCTTACATTTGCAGCTTGTCGTAGGGACGTGAATTACAAACAAACTCCTGATCACGATTATTCCATTCAATACAGTAAATACATCACATACTTTTAAACATATATAATCTATACAGTTCAAATTAACCTTTAAAAAGGGTTGTGGTAAAAAAAAAATAATACTTGGATTATGGACGTTATTTTGGAATTATCTGCCAATTTAATTACTTATTCTAAACCTAATTAGAACAGCATGACTTTTTTCAATACTTAATGTATAATTAGCATTGATTCTTCTTGTTTTGCTCAGAAAAAACACTTTTAATATTACTTTTCCAGTATAGGGTGGGCCAATATATATATACTGTACAATAGATGCAATACAGGTTTGTCATGTGTTTTATTATTATTAATGAATTATATTAGAGTTTAGATTTTAGAGCAGGGGTCACCAACCTGTAGCTCGGCAGCTACCAGCTACTTGCCACCCCCTTTCAGGTAGCTCCCCAAAGGATTTAGAATGTGACACATGATCTTGAATGATTCACTTTTAAGTATCTAAGTATAAATATAGGGTTTTACAGTATTATGGTATTTTTTACATCTGTGTTCCATGTTTTGTCATAAGTATTAAATAGATCGCAAAAAGCAGTAGCTCTCTGCCTCTTCTATTAAAAGTAGCTCTCCGAATGAAAAAGGTTGGAGACCCCTGGTTTGGAGTTGAATTAATTAAGGACAATGTACAGTTACATTAAAAAAGATGGCTGCACTAGATTAAGCATACATATTAAAACACAGTTATGTATAAAGTGCATGTTACCAACATACAGTACATATTAAAACACAGTTATGTATAAAGTGCATGTTACCTACATAGTTACAGTCACATTGTACCAGAACATTTACCAGCAAATGGAAAAGGTGCAAATGACAGGTATCAGGTTCAATACCAAGTTCCAGTAAAGTATTTAGCAGCGATGAATACAGTGCGACGCAACTATGATCATTGTCAGAAGGGCCTGGCTTCCAATCCAGCTCTATGGCCTTTATGTGTGGAGTTTGCATGTTCTCCCCATGTATGCGCAGGAAAATAAATGCACCAATAATGTTTTGTTTTTGCATCAAATCACTTGCAAGTTTATTAAATGATATTGTACTGAAGTGCCCTGTATCTATTTATTGTGTGTATTGATGTATGTATTGTCGACAAAGTGTACATTTAAAATAGCCGGCCCTATAGTGTTCAGTGAAATTCACTCAAATCAAACTTTATATTTGCGCTCCACAAATCTGTTTCATCTCCATTTCTGGTGGTGCTTGTTTTGAAAATCCCCTGTTTTGCACGTTTAGAATCACTGCTGAACGTTGGATTTCTCACACAACCCAAGATCATTGTTAGTTGCTTTGGAAGCGTGTCTTGAGCATTATTTTTGTTCAAACTAAGCATCGTTTCCACTTTTGCTCCCCCGTAGGTTTACAATGTGCACTACAGTATGAACATCAATAGCCAGCTGAGAGAGGCATCGGCTGAAATTGATTCTGACAATAACCTAGAGAGATTTAAAACAGGAGAGCGGGCCGAAGCTTTGGAGATCCACGACTTTCAAAGTGTGAGTGAGTTTGCCCTTGTTCTCTTCGCTCTTTCATTTTTTTGGTTTTTTTCATCGGCTGACGAGACTTTGTGTGTGCTCAGAAAAGTCACGCAGCCCTGAGTGTAAACATGGCATCTCTGTGATTTGGAACAGGGAATAACTGGGATCCGATTCTCTGGTGGAGACAAGTGCTATATAAAATCCCAAATCAAAGACGACCTGCCAGACATAGAAAGTGACAACAGAGAGCGACTGATGCCTGACCCGGTATTTACAGACTCACAAATGCACACACGCAATGTTGCTATTTTGCGATTTGTTTCAACTTCTTTTCAAGGAGCGCTGTGTTTTTCTTTGCAACAGAGAGATGAGATGCTGCCAGTGAGTTCCGAGGAGCACATCATGACATGGGTGACGGCGGATCAACCACTGAAGGACAGCACATTCCTGAGTCCAAAGATTATCACTCTATGCCAGGGTCTGCCCATTTACTGGCTCCAACCAGCAGATCCGAAAGGTGATCATCCTCTCGTCAACCGTACCGCATCGAAGTTTGGCACTTTCGATTCATAGAAACTTTGAAAGGGATTGTCAGTGAGGTTTCAGTTCTTAAAAAGCAGAAAATTTTCGAATGCAACGATCCATTTTGTTGTTTATTTTGTAGGGACAGCGCTTGTTGATATACACACATCACGGATTAGTGGTGTTCAAATCCACCTCCAGGCTTTTCTGTGTGGAGTTTGCATGTTCTCCCCGTGTCTCCACAGGATTCCTCCAGGTGCTCCGGTTCCCCCTGAAAACATGTACAAAACTCCAAGGTATCACGTGAGAGAACAAATGCTCAAAACAATTGTAAAGAGCTATGTGATTCTGGTTTGTGATAAATAAAGACTACTTACTTACTTGGTATAGGGGAAACCGGAGCACTCGGAGGGAAACTAAAGCCTGGGACAAGGAGAGCGTGCAAACTCTCCGCAGAAAGGTGTGGGGGCGGGCTTGAACCTTCTATCTGGGAAGCACAAGCTGTAACCCCAGTGTCATGATGCCACCCTCTCTCCCCTCCTCCCTTTTTGGACAAAATGTATTGACAGGCAAACCTTCGCCCCGCACTTCTCAGCAAGAAGGTCAAGGGTTTGAATCCCTGCCCAACTCTGAGTGGAGATGAATGTTCTCCCAGTCCCTGCACAGATTTCCTCCACTCCCTTTGCACTAGATTATGTGCAATGGCCCCCGTAACACCGCCCCTTAGAAACATGATGTTCTATTCTATTCAACATCAATTTTAGAAAGAAATGAAAATGATTCAACCTCCATGCTTGAATTAGTGAGTGCAGGCTGTCGACTTCGGAAGTTCGTATTACCTTAAGCAGTGTAACTCGACACACTTAAAATTATTGTTTTTGATTATTAACACAATTAGATGGGGAAGAGCTCAAGCCTCATTTTGTTTGCCATGTCCAGCTTTAAACCGGATTTTTCCATTAGGAGGACAGGATTCAGACACATGTAGTCAGGCTCAGAAAGTTATTTAAAAAAGACAGAGAGCGTAAAGAAGCTCGTCCTGCAGATACCATAATATACCTTAGCAGCTTTAATTATAAAGCACTTTTAAAAACTTTACAGGTCAGCCAAAGTGCTGTACACAAAAAACAAACACATAGACTAAAAATACATATATAAAACAAAATGACCTAAGATCAAACATTATCAAAAGCAACTGAAAAAACAGGAATTTTTAGAAGTGATTTAAAAACAGGTAGAGACTGAGCCTGTCTAATCTCAATGGATAACTGATTCCAAAGACGTGGACCTGCAACAGAAAAGGCTCGCTCACCACGAAGCTAACGCTGTGTCTTAGGGACCACCAGCATCAGCTGATCTGCCGACTTCAGGGCACGAGAGGGAGCATAGGGCAGAATAAGATCACAGAGGTAAGAGGGGGCCAAGAATTTTAAAATCAATTCTAAAACCCACCGGAATTCAGTGTAGAGATTTTAAAACCGGTGAAACATGCCCACATCTGCAAGTTCCAGTTAAAAGTCGAGCTTCAGAACTTTGGACGAGCTGCAGCCGAGAAAGTGCGTGTTGGCTCAGTAAAGTGCATTGCAGTAGTCTAAGCGGGTTGTCACAAAAGCATGCACAACAGTCTCAAAGTGCCTTTTTGTTAAAATAGGCTTTATTTTTGCAAGTTGCCTTAGCTGAAAAAAGCTTACTTTGACGACTTTTGAAATCTGCTGGTCAAGTTTCAGGTTAGCGTCCATCCTAACACCTAGATTTGTCACTGCTGGCTGATCCTTCACGTCACACCATCACGTGTCACCTCTGAAGTCTACCTCCGAAACATGTCGGATAATTAAGCAGGACTTGCTTCTTTACACTCTCTATCTTATTCTTATTTCCAAGGATAAATCCGGTTTACAGCTGCAATGATTTGACAAATTATGCTGCTCAAAAAGAAAATCTGAAACCTTCAATCTCATGCTGACTTAAATTTGGCCTGAGCTCCCTTCTTATTGTATTAATAATCAAAGCACTCATTTTAAGATAGATTTGGTGTTAAAATATACTGCTTAAGGTACTAAAAACATTCATAATATTATCAAAAGACATGAGTATTTTTTTTTTTTTTTTTACATTCAAGGACTATATTCATCATATATAAATGGGAATCATAAGTACCATGGGTATTATTTAAGCCTTTGATAAATTGTGTTATTTGTGGAAGGTCCACTTACCACAAATATAAAGTTACATTTATAAACAATTTTACAGATAAGTAGGCATAACTATATCTTCAGTAGGTTCTATGTGTAAAATAAGAAGTAACCAGTAATGGACACACTTGAGCATTAAGCAAATTGTAAACTTATAATTCCCAAGATTATCTCTAAACAAAAAAAATAAAAATAAAAATTGCAGAAATACACACATTTTATACATTAACAAAGTTTTACGGCAAACGTTACATGTATTCAATTAAATGAAAAGACATAGGGCTTTAGGTTAAAAAAAACAGTGGCCAATATATGAATAAAGTACACCAGTCAAGCACTACTATGTCATTTCTTTGCAATGTAGTGACACGCTCGTACGCTGTAAAAACTCCATTTGAACTTGACATGAACATCTTGAACATACATCACATTCAGAGTCAAAAATCATGCTCGTATTAAAAAAGAATGATGGTGAAATATGCAGCAGCGCTGGCTAGTATTACCGCTGCTTAATTGAATAATTCAGGAGGCCTCAGAGACGCAGTAGGATATGCAGAGGCCCGCGCTGGGAGGACGTGCTTGGGACCCTCGTGGACAGTGACCCAGTACTCTGCGCCTCTTGTGGCTCTTCTGACAGATGGAGTTCGGCAGCGGCGGCGGAGAGAGGCGGGGAGAGCCAGACAACAGACTAACACTCGCAGGTCCAAGCCAGCTGCTGCAGAGCGGAGGGGACCCAAAGAGGGAGCCCCCAGAGCCGGAGCCGAGCAGGAAGACAATGGAGCACAGTCTGCCGGGTCAGCGTTCAACCCCGAAAACCCGTACCACGTGAGAGCCCATGTATTATAACACTCTTACTCACAGTGAAAAAACTGAACGACTTTTCTAAAACATTTCTACTTATCCATTTCATCTGTGTTTTGTACAAGGTCAGTGAAAAGAAAGCATTAACAGGCGAGTCTTTTGTTAATCTAACATGAACGCTCTGCCGGGTCATCAGGAGGAACGTTCTCATTACAAGGAGCATAATGGGGGAAAAAACCTGCTTCTACCACCTTCAGCAGAGGATTTCAAATAACAAAAGCTGTTCCAAAATACTGTATATGTCGGTGCCAGACTGTGGAGGGCTTTATAAACAAGCAGGGATTCAAAAGTCAAACTGGGAGAAAGTGGAGATCCTTTAGAACATGTAACAGAGACATTACACCTGTTCTGAGAAACGTCAGAGCTGCAGGGTTTGGACACAGCTACAGACGCTGGGCTGAATCTTGTGACAAATGCAGCATTTCATTTTTTTTGTATACAGGAATCCAGACATTTGAAAAATCTTTTTAAATATTTAGTTACACAATTCATTAGTCTATGAATGCACAAGGTTCTTTACAGTTATCTACATGCAATCCAGCTGTAATAGTCCATGCTGCGCACAAGGCAGTGCTTTGAGTTGTTTATATAAGAGTAAGTAATTAAGTTTTTAAGTAATTTAGTTTTTTCCCTCATCAAAAACATACCTAAATTGGTTCTGTTTCATTGGTGCAATGTGATGGTATTTTCCCATTTTCCCACTTTAATAATGATTTTAGTCAATTTAGAAGCCCTAACCTCTTTCCAGCCCCTTCCATCAGGTCGTGCTGAGCTGAAAGAGGAGGAAAGAAATGTATATTAAATTTATATCAAAGTGAAAGATCCTCATTTAAATGTTTGCCTTCCATATAACGTTTAAGGTCTCATAACAGTTTGGTTTTAACAACATTTTTGATTTGTTTTCCTGATATTTAGATTAGCTTTTTCAGAAAGAAAAAAAACCCTGACTGAGCCGTTGATTTAGTTGTCTGACTCAATCAACCAGCTCTCAGCCAAAAGTGTCAACTATCAACTCTCAGGGACCTCTCATTCAAGAACGCAAAATATATAGTTCAAACTGGAAAGACTCGAGATGAAGATTGCATTAGAATGTATTGTCAAGATGCATGAATAAACACCAGCAGACTTAGCATGAGTTCTATTATATTTAATAGCATATGCGGAAGGGAGTCTAATAGAAATTATGAGCTTGCAACGCCCCGGGGCCTAGACCCTGGGGGCAAAGAAGCTGAGCCGAAGACATGATACTCCACTGAAGAGGCGGTGATGGGGAGGAGGTGGGTTGCTGCTCGAACAGCAGCTTGAGCTGCAGTGAACTGAGAGGCTCTGTTTAAATGCAGCCATGAAGTGATAAGCTCAGGTGTGTTCTTGAGCAGCTGAGGCTGATTGCTGTTGAGCTCAGGTGCAGGAGTGTGAGGGAGGAGTCCAGTGTGGCAGGTGTGTGGAGGGAGGAGTCCAGTGTGGCAGGTGTGTGGAGGGAGGAGTCCAGTGTGGCAGGAGTGTGGAGGGAGGAGTCCAGTGTGGCAGGAGTGTGAGGGAGGAGTCCAGTGTGGCAGGTGTGTGAGGGAGGAGTCCAGTGTGGCAGGTGTGTGGAGGGAGGAGTCCAGTGTGGCAGGAGTGTGGAGGGAGGAGTCCAGTGTGGCAGGAGTGTGAGGGAGGAGTCCAGTGTGGCAGGTGTGTGAGGGAGGAGTCCAGTGTGGCAGGTGTGTGGAGGGAGGAGTCCAGTGTGGCAGGAGTGTGAGGGAGGAGTCCAGTGTGGCAGGTGTGTGAGGGAGGAGTCCAGTGTGGCAGGAGTGTGGAGGGAGGAGTCCAGTGTGGCAGGAGTGTGAGGGAGGAGTCCAGTGTGGCAGGTGTGTGAGGGAGGAGTCCAGTGTGGCAGGTGTGTGAGGGAGGAGTCCAGTGTGGCAGGTGTGTGGAGGGAGGAGTCCAGTGTGGCAGGTGTGTGGAGGGAGGAGTCCAGTGTGGCAGGTGTGTGGAGGGAGGAGTCCAGTGCAGGAGTGACGTCTCTTTGGTCTTCCATTCTGAATTCGCGCTTAAGTTTCATTAGTAGTAGTTTACAAAAGAAAAAAAAGAAAAACAATATCACTTTTTCAACACAAACACCCTACAACTCTCTCCACTACTTGTTTAAATATTTCTTTAGCATTTATTTTCTTTTTTATATGTATTTTCTTTTGTATCATTTGATCATGTTATTTTTTTGATATTACGACATTTAATTTGACCATGTTTACAATAAATCTAGCATGTTGATTTGTTCATCACCTTTTACTTTCACAAATCTTCTTCTGTTGGGACAAACTACGTGTATCAATAATGTAAAACTCCATCTACTGCATATGTTCCATGGACATGCAGCTGTTGCAATAGGGGTTATGTGAGTAGGAGTATTAGGCGCTCACTGCAGTAGCTGACACCATTTTAACATGATGAACTGGTGAGCGAGAGTCGAGCTGCCTCCATATGTTTTTGTTGCTGAGAAAATCGGCTCAAGTTTGGATGAGAATGCTTTGGTAAGGTATTAGAATTGCAAATATGTAAAGATAGTTCAAACTAAATGAGTACTTAGGAAACACAGTGTGAATATTAAGTCTTGCTCACTGTTGATTTGGGCTGATGTGGAGACTGAATGGTGTGGTAGCTATGGATAACCTCATAAAAAGACCTCCCCATGTGCTGCTTGGACGAGAGCATCTGCTACCTCTAAAACTATTTTATGTTTCCTTATGTCTTTTTTGCTTTTATAGTCATCTGTGCTAGGGCTGGAGTTCATTCCATATTATGATGTTCAAAAACAGCACTATTTTGGCTGAAAGTAATAGAAAACTAACACATTTTTCCATAAATCAGCAATTAATAAAATACTTGAGTATTTAAGGAAAATGCCAAAAAGTATGTTTTGTTTAGTTAGAGGAAAACGAATGATCACACTGCTTTGTTATGTTTGTGAGATACTCCTTTGCAGTTATATAAAACATCAACATTTGTATGACGTCCACGTCTTGGATGAGATGAGAACATAGATCATAATATGTTGAATGTATTAAAAGTGTGATGTTGGAGTGAGTTTTTGCTTTGTCCGCTGTGACATGCCTGAGGCCAGAGTGACTCATAAATCATATGATAATGTAAAGACATCCGGGAGCAGCAGGCTCCTCACTTTATCTCCCACAACAATGCTTTGGGTGGATGTCCATCAGTATTACATGTGTGTGTCTCCACAGACTCCAAGCGGGGGGAGTGAGGACAGTGCCATGAGCTTTGACCCCATGCTGGACCACAGGGGCATCTGCTGTGCTGAATGCCAACGAGGCTACACCCAGTGTCAGAGGGTGTGCGAGCCGCTCTATGGACACTGGCCATGGCCCTACCATCACCGCGGCTGCACGGTGGGCTGTCGGGTCATCATGCCCTGCCGCTGGTGGGTGGCACGTATTCTTGGGCTTGTGTAGGACGAGGTCCATCATCAAATGTCATTTCATGTGTGTAGGGAATCATCCTGCTATATGGACCGACAATTGTGCAAGATATTCATAACGCTTCACATGAAGTGCATTCACAGCAAATGCAGATGTCGAATAAAACACCATCCACAAACTACACAGCTTTTAACATTTGCACATAATTGGATGGATGTAAAACAATCATCTGACAATAAACATAAGTGATTGTATCTGTATCTTCAGATCTTTTTTCCGAACCACTAACTCTGATGTGCATTATACACGAGAATATTTCATTTTTCAGGTCAAAGATAAGTCTGGGTCCAGACGTTTAACCTATCCTCATTTTTTTTTATAGATGTGAATGTGCTAAAATAATTGTTGGCTTTCTTGTATTGGTGAAGTTATGTAGAAGAGCTAAGACAATATTGGATTTGTACACTTTAAAGTATTCCTTTTGACTTTTCTTCTGTAAATTAAGGGAAAACGGGGAACCTGCAAATGTGAAGCAGGTTCTTTTCAAATGAAGTGCATATTGCGCTGAATGAGTTATAACAGCCTTCCACTCGCAGCCAGACGTGCTGGACTCCTTGCATAGTCAGATTATAGTACATAAATGCCAAACACCTTTTGCTGCAGCGGATTTATTACTGAGCGATGTACACTACTATATTTGCTCCATGTAATAAGAGGCTTATTGCACTGTGCAGTGAAAGGTATGGAGGGGAGCCACCACCTTTTCTGCTTGAAATGGCTTCAATAAAATCTAATTACAGTACATGCTGGCTTTGATGTAGATGTTTTTGTGACACATGTTGTTTCCATGGTTCCACTGGGTGCGTTTCTGATCAAACTGAGGTGACAGCGATGGTTGCCATAACTTCCATTCACAGCTCCGAATCCGTCTGAGGGCAATGCAATTTGTGCGCACTGACATCTGCATTGATGTGAACTAATGTGAGATGAGTGTCATGGCAGTGATGGAAAACATCTCACTGAAAGTGACATTTTATTAAATAAATAAACATTTTCCTATAAGGGAAAATCCAGGATGTTTGTAGAGGGAACAAAAACACCATAGAAATGGCAGCTTTTCCACTGATCCGAGAGGCTTGTGATGAAGGAGTCCTGAATGCAGCTAAATCAAAAGGAATCAGATTACTATCACTAAAGACATGTGCCAACTTTCTAAATAATTAAAGAGAGCGTGTTGTGATCAAGACGATTTCACAGAGGGTGATGCGGGCACATGAAATTACAACAGATGTGAAACTGCAGCGAATGTGGCATCGAAGCCTCATTGAACCAGAGCAGTGAGAGGGAAACACAACACAAAGAGATGCTTGTCTGTGTGCGCGGAGATGGTCGCTGGTTTTCGTCGTGGTAGAGGTGCTTATCACATCTGCAGTGCTGATAAGACGGCCTCTGTGCCTCCGTAGGCTATATAATATTAATCCTTCTCCTACGTCTGCAGATGCACTTAAAGGAAGGTGACAAGCATGACATATCCAGGACCTCCTGATGGCTCGTGCTCTGGAGTGCAGCCGCTAAAAGAGCCCCAAGTACCCTCAAGTGATGTAAATTTGCAGGGGGAGTCCAATTTCCATCACAGTGCTGTCACTGCTATGGTCATTAAACTAAATCATCCTGCTGTGTGTCACACAGCTCTCATTTTAAAGTCCCCTCAATAATGGAGTTATACTTGGACTGCAGATTGCAGCACAACACCGACTGTGTGACCTGACAGCGGCTCCAAGTATCTCCTGCACATTATTTCATCTCTAAAAGTCACCAGCTGACAGCGGCAACATAAGAACACCAGAGAATTATTAATGAAGCCCATACATTTATTTTTGAATTTGATTTGCATTTTACCTAGCATGATATGTGTGGCATGTGCTACAGCAGGAAAACAGACTGTGACATTATACTGTATGTGGCTTCTGCAGTTGGCACTGTATTGATGCAACCAGGCACAACAGAGATCCCCAAATCCGAGACAGACTAAAGGACACGTACAAAGAAAAGTGAAAAACACAACAGCACAAGCAACAATTCAAAATGACATTCAAACAAATAATGGCTCTGAACAAGAGGCATTTTATTATCCTGAGGCCTTTTTATTTCTTTTCTTTAACCATTCCTCACCTAAGAAGAGAAATGTAGCCCCACAGAGATTAAGAACAGTAATGTGGAGGGCAGCTCCGGTGAGTCAGACAGTGGGGCCCTTTTATTTGTGTGCACATTGGGCCAGGCTCACCCTGGGAGCCTTGCAGGCCAGGGAACAAACAGGGCTTTGTGAGCACTGCCCCACTGCGTCCAGCAGCGTCTCTGCTAACCTCCACTCCAGTGCTAATAGTGCGGCTCAGGCCCAGTCCACGGCAGCACAGGGCGAAGAGAGCTCACATCCACCTGTGCTTTCATCATGCCCCATCAAAACAAGCACCCGTGTGAGAGCCCAGCTGACCACTGAATCAAAAGCTTTACCTATATCCTCTTGGCCTCGGCACAATACATTCAGTGAGCTCTGATTTATTTGGTGTGCTAATCAAGGCTGCGCACTCACCAGCACTCCCCATAAATATGTCAATAGCTTGACATAAATTTGTGCGTTGCTGCCCAGGAGGCATTAGAAGTGTGAATAGCGGTGTGAAGTGAACCACTCCACTAACCCTGTCCTACATTTGATTCCATGTTTTCGATTAAATCCAGACCATGATCGAAATAAATAGTAGTGACAGTCCATTTTGCACCTTAACCAGAACACAGAAAACCTTTTAGGTTCAGCTCATTACGTTCTCCTGCAAGAAAGCACTGCTGTACATTTATGAATGCTGGCGTGTAGCGGAAAAAAGAAGAAACATTCTGTTTTGCAGCGCTAGTAACAATCCAGGCACCTCACGTTTCTGTCTTCTTTTTTTTTCGGAATTGGTCAGGAATAACATGGCGGGACGAGGGGGGTCTGGTACAAGGCTTAAATGCTTTTTAATCCCACGCATGAGTGACCACTCGCAGCACTGCCTGCTAGTGCTGTGACTCCTGCTGCCATTTACTGGTCTCTCAAGTTACTGTGGTGTTGGCTCTCAGTTTCAATCCACATCATTTCTGTGCCTATTTATTATGCAACCTTAAAAAGATCATTAGCAGGAAGCTTGGTGGTATTGTACAATGGCGTTATCTTGTTTATTTCGGTCTAACCTGTAAATATTGTCTGTAGAGCTTGGCTGCATCCAGTAAATGGCACTGTCTCTGTAATGAAACATTATAGCCATTCTCCTGGTAACTCAATTACAGGGCTCACTGCAGGCTCTCACTGCAGATTGCATAGGGTTGCATGGTGTCCTCTTCTCACACAAACTCAGACCTGTGGAGAGATGTCGCTCTAAATTGGACACAGAGTGGAACTCACACATTGTTTTTTTTTTTCTTCTTCCTTAGCTCACAGTGTACGTGTGACAGTTGCCGAACGCACTGCGGCAGATGTCAAGATTGACTTACTAAAGCAGGCCACTTATCTTTAGGACACAGCCCAGGTCCTATAATAACAGCATATTAGGCTGGCCTACTCGCCGTCCATATTTATAGCCCAATCCGTCAACTTTATATGGAATATTTCAGAAGAATTCCCCTTACTGTATAATCACCATAATGTTATTCAAGGTTTAATTATTCATAAGCTTGACTAATGGTGAATCAATTATTTGCATAACATTAGCATGCATTTGTAGATTATTTATAACTCTTAAGTTTCTCTGTAACAAATATAGTCATCATTGAAACGGCTCACAGCAGGGCACATTAATGAAGACAGGTGCAAATAACCTGTGCAGTCTTAGTGGTTGAATTCTATCAGACATGTGCATGATAAATCAGTTTGCTCCAATGTTAAGGACTGCTAATCACTTTCACACACACACACACACACACACACACACAAACTCTTGATAAGATACACCCCACTGTCACTGTGCATGTGCTGTCAAGGTATACGCCTATCTAGTTAGTGCTGGGACTGCCACCCACATACGGAGTGGACTCAATGATAAAAACCCAACAAATTTCACTCCTTGCCGATGCAGGGGGGTCTAAGCATAGTGGTAATTATCCAGGATATTCCACATTCAACGACATTTATGAACATCTATTAACATTTATGCCCCTAATGACCAATGCCTCCTTGTGTTTTTAATCATTGCATTCCCTCTGTTTGAACTCTTTTATTCTCTGATCTGTGTTGGCGAATCAACGGTCCTCAGAGATAGCTACTGTTGTGATTTAGGGCTACACAAAAATGTATTGAATTAAATTGAATTGAACTTGTCTCTGCTAACCATCCGGTGATCGGTTCAGCTTGGGACAAAATATGTGAGTACACGTCATTGCCATGTTGTGATGACATAGCTGGGGCTTACATGGCACGGACAAGGTTATGTTGTTACAGTTGTATTTTAAACCATAGGTATTGCTCACCCATAATCTGTTAGAACTAACTAACTAACTGAAGTACAGATGATGAGTTAGCAACTTTCCTTTGTTTTGAATAATCCCTGTGCGACTGAGAGCTTACACAAACGTATACTGTAGCTGTATTGTACTTGTTTGTTGCCAGATCATTTAGATTTCACATTATTACAGTTTGTATATGTTTGGGTGGTATGTCATCATGATTTGGTGTTGCTACAGTGGGCTTGACTTTTAACGTCTTCTTACTCACTGCTCTTCATGAGATAGGAATATTCAATGTAACACGTGAGGTTTATGTTGTGTCCAATTGTGTATATTAATGTTGAAGGAGTGTTCTGACAGGCACGCTGGGTCTCTCTGTAATCAATCTCCCTGTTCCCCACGGGTGCTGTTCATTTCTTAGCCGGAGTAGTATCAGAAAATATTGCATTATTTCATCACAGCTTGGCTTATTTTCCAGTCCATACCTTTGTGTTGACAGTCACATCATGGCCAATTCACCCTGATGGCCTCATGCTGCCTTCCCTTCTGTACAGTCTAATGAG